TCGATATGCAGCCGTGTTAAAAACTAAATACGGAGAGTTATGCTGCCCTTGTGGTCCCGCTTGACTCGAACAAACTAGTCGGGTAATCAATGAACTAATGATGAAATCCAAAAAAAAAAATGTGCTAGTCAAATTTGGGGTAAATGATATTCACTATTTGAAGAATCCATCACACTCTAATTTTTCAGACATAATTTAGAAGAGGATTTTAGAACGGGTCTGTTGGTAAAAAAACATAAAGGAAGTTTATTCTATATAATTATAGTTATCTTATAATTTCTTAATTAATTATTAATTAGATTGTGATCTTGTTAAGCCATCCCTTAAAGTACAATTAATTTTATAAAAATTATTAATTCACGTATCCCAAAGACATGTCAATATCCTCAAATTGTAAAATAACCAAGCATATTAAATTAATAAAATTTTTGAAATTCAGAGGGAGGGTATATAAACTGTCTAATAAATATCATATATATTTCTTAGGAATATTTAAAATGTCATGTAGATTACCAAAAAAAAAAATTTCATGTAAATATTTAAATATTTATAAGATTAAGCTACTAGAAGTGGTTTAGTGGGGAGGGATTTGGGTAGTTTGCATGAGGCCATAGGTTCAAACCTTCGTGCCACTATTATATCCAAAAAAAGATATTTATAAGATTAGATCGGTTAGTTTGTGATTTCCTTTGGCTAAAATGTGTGATACCCATTGGTTAAAACACTTGATTTCTAATATCTTCTATGTGATTTCTCTAATGCAAATTCTCCAAATACAACGTCTCAAATAACAAAACTTTTCAAAATTATGATATCCCCAATAATAACCTCGATTTAACGTCTCCAATAACAATTTGCTTCAGGATTGCGATATCTCTAATAACAATCTTAATCAAAAGTAAGATTTCTCCAATAACAATTGATGAGTTCAACACAAGTTGGGCTGGGCCTAATCACACATAGTTAAAGTGAGAGGATGTTGATGAGGAAAAGGAATAACATGTGTGTTGTTGCCGAGATGTTGGGATACTTGAAGAGATAGAAAAATGCTTGGGGAGATGGTTGATCAGTACTTTTGCGTATCTGGGCAGTTTGGAAGAGACTGGTGGTACCTGCAATGACATTCTGACACTCAAGTCAGTTCAGTATTCTAGGAGGTTCAAGTACTCAAAGAGAGATATCATACTTAGGCTATAAGCCTATGTATTTATAGTGCTTGAGCGTCTTTGTTTCTCACTATTTTTCATAAGACGTTGTTCACGTTTATTGGTGGAGAGGGTGGCCTCTTGTTACCTTGCTAACAATTATGCAAGTATGCGCTCAAGTATACGCGACAACAAGTAATATAGGGCTTGTTTAAGTCCTAGGTATCGTTCCCACAAGGATCTTTGGCGTTTTTAACTTGACTAAAATTTGTAATTGTTATAACTAAATTCAATTTTAAAAATAATAAAAATAAAATAATCACAAGACTAATCTGAAATAGCAATGACCACATTACTATTTTATTTTTAGACTTTTCTGAATTAATTTTGGATTCAATTGTTCTAAAAGATGGAAATAAATAAGAAATCAATTTAAGAAGTGTTTTTTTTTTTTGATGTAAAATCATTTTTATAAAGAAATGTAAAACAGAAAGGTGATTAAATTCTAAGTCAGAGAAAAGAAAATGAGTTGGTGAAAATATTTAGAAAAATAGATTAGGTTTTCGGCTGCCTTACCTATAACACTTGAATGAATTGATTAATTATCAAAATTGCTTCATCAATTATTTTCAATCAGCAGAACACTCAAGTTAATTCTTAATCCCTTAAAAATTATTTTCTCCATGGTTCACCCATATACATATCCCTATGTAGATGACAGTTGGAGTCTTGAAGCTCAAGTTCAAGGCTACACGGTAGTCTCCTTCATGTCTGAAGTGAGATCCCTTGAATGATCCTTCATCCAAGTCCACGCGTTCAATGCAAGGTCAATTATGAGTTGTTTCCCAACAACGCATCCCTCTACAAGCCTCTAACATTTGGCTACAATCTAGAAAACTTCAACATTAGAAATAGCATTGAACAACTGAGTTTAAACTTTAAAATCCAGATAATCAAACATTCATCCAAACACTGAGATTCGGGTATCACCTAGACCTAACCGGACTAGCTCATACCTATAAAAGTTGAGCTCAAAACAGAAATGAAACAGAAGGAAAATAACAATTAAAAAATCAAACTAAACAGAGGCTAAATCATAAGATCAGCCTTGCTACTGTAAAACTAAAAATAAAAATAGACTCTAAAAATATATCAACAAGTAAGAAAGAGGAAGAAGTCCACCCTAGGTTCGCTCCTTTTATATTAGCTCCTCTGCATGCAATAGCTCTAAAAACCCTTGGATCATCTTCCACGTGGATTCCCTCACATAAACCACACGATCCTTCCTTGTAGCGCTCCTCATAACCCACGCTTGCAAGTGGTCATACTCACAACCGTGTAACTAACTCAGCCTAAAATGACAGCTCAGATTTTTGTATTTCTTTATTTCTTTTTCTGGTTTCTTTGGGCTTGTTTGGATTGTAGGTTTGAGTGGATCTATAGCTTTGGGAAAAGTGGAGAATTGGGTTATGGGTTTGGCTTAAGTGAAAGACAATATGGTTGACGTTTGATTTGTGTGGGTCATAGATGTTCAAAGATGAAAAGGAATAAGAACCCGTTTGGATGAGCTTTTTTTTCTTCAAAAGCTGCTTTTTTAAAGAAAAAAAAAGTACTTCTCGAAAAAAGTCTGTTTGGATGCTTGCTTTTAAAAAAAGTAGAAGTTATAAAAAAAGCTAAAAATCTACTTTTTTCGGAAGCTAAAATTTTTAGCTTTTAAGAAAAGCAGAAGTCAAAAGTCAAATATTTTTTTCAAAAAACAAATATTTTTAAAAAAATCTAAATAGCTGTAACTTTTATAAAAAGTACTTTTAAAATAAGGAAGTGATAAAAAAGACTTTTTTCAAAAGTCCATACAAACAACCTCTAAGAAAGGAAAGGTTAGGGTTTCTGCTTCCTCTCAATTGGGACCAGATGTTTCTCGATGAAAGTTGGTGTTTGTCTCTAAATTACCCTTCTTTTCTCTTTCTTCTATTCTTTTGCCACTTATATCCTTTCTTCTTTTATGTTTTTCCACCCTTGTCCTTGAGTACACTTGCTATTTGGGCTGACTTGTTGAGCTTTTACCTTTTTATTTTATTCTCTTGTTTGGACTTTAGCTCACTTACACATTTGGGCCTTCAATATTATGCAATTAACAACCAAAAGATTCAGTCCATGAGTTTTGTGTACATTGAAACACCAAAGCCAATTTATCATGAATTGCATTGCAAACAGAAAATTTATTACTCATTTTCCTTCAATTTAAGATCATCAATTTATACCATTTAAGTGTCATTTTGGAGACATATCACCTCTCTCAGGCATTCCTTGGATGGCAAGCCTATATTCAATAGTAGGTATGGTGGCAAGCTGGAGCTGCCATCCTTTCATTGGTTCCTGGTAGTAGTCAACTTGTCTGGTTCCTTTTAGGCTAAGTTCGCGTTTGGTTTGCTTGCCAAGTCTGAAGCAAGATCCATGCTTCTGGTGCGAGATGGATTGCCTTTGTGGCTATGTCGCAAGGGTTCTATGGGCCTTTTGGACCTTCAACAATTGTGTCTCTATTTCGCATGTGGTAGGTCCAGATCAACAATCATCTTCATGATTGCAATTTCTCTAATAAAAATCCTCTTCAGGATTATGATTTCTCCAATAACAATTCACTTCGGGATAACGATTTCTCTGACGACAATACTCTTCAAGATTATACCCCAAAATTCAGGGAAGGCGAGCTAGTGATCATTATTTATCACACCCCCTATCCTAACAATTGAAAAAACTTCATAAACAAAGTCGCTCTCTAATTATTAAGTGATCACCTTTGGATTATTATGTTCCATATTATTTGCTCTACAATTAAGGACAATGGCTCACCAACCACTCTCCAGCAACTGTTTTCAACCAATTTAGCAATTTATAAAATTAAGATCATCATCAGTTTGAACTAAGATCATCATCAATAAAAAATCAGGATCATCATCATAACAAATCATTATTATCAGCTTAAAGGGTTGTCACACCCAACCAAGGTATGTAATATCTTTTTTTATCATTTGTTACAAGGCTTTACATTTCTTATATCTCAACACTCCATCAAGTGAAACACAAAATTACAGATAATTATCCTGGACCAATATATTAGACCCAATGTGAAGTGATTCACCATGAAAAATTTAGGATTGGGCTTTGGTGGCAGTATTCGAATACTTCCGTGTTCAAAATATGAAAATTAAGGGTAAACAAGGAAAAATGGGATCTCTTTAGAAAGTTTGGAGAGGTTCATGGCTTTAAAGTAGATGAATTAAATGCCTATCAACGATTTCAATAGATTAAATAACTATTTCTCTCACATGAACATAAGTTGAAATTCTTTTCTTGTAAATGGTTGGGATGCTTGAATATGGAAATTCTAATATTTGTATCCTTCGTGATCAGAACCTAATGCAAGTAATTAATTATGTTTAATAAACTAACCTCTTGGGTCTCATAATATATTGTCGTGATCAGAATTTATAGTTTATTGCTATGCATATGATATGATATCACCTTGTGAAAGTTAAATCGCCTCTATATAAGGGTTGAGGTAGTTTTAACGAGTTCATAAATTTAAATTTTAGTTCCATTATTATTATAAAAGGAGATGAGATATTATTTCTCATCGCAACACATAAAAAAAAAGTGAGCAAAATTCATTAAAGAAAAGAGATTTTTTTTTTTTTTACATATTTTATGTGTATTATATGAAACAAATTATCTTATACAAAATAAAAATTATATTCCCATTATTAAATTATTTATAATTAAAAATGATCTGTATACGGTATAAATTTTACTAATCTTATAATTAAAAAACAAAAACAGATTGTAGAAAATAAAAATAAAAAATCGTAAACTTCTATCTACATTTCATTCAAAATCCCCATAACGCAAAACGCAAAACCCAAAACCTTCCTCTGGCCTCTATTTGCTGCTAAACTTCACGCGTATCTTCTTCACCAGGTGATTCACCTTAATCTTATCTTTCCCTCTCAACATTTCTTTATAAGGTTATTTTAATTTATTTTTGTGTAAACGATGTGATTTCTGGCCCTAAAACACTACCGTTTACTACTTAGGTTTTGATTAACGGACTCATATCAGTACTTGTTGCGGTGGTACACTCTTGATTATGTTTCTGATTAGGTTTTAAGTGGGATATGGTTTACTGAGATTTATTTATTTTTTCATTTTATCGAACATTGATTCTATTCGTGATTTCTGGATTAATAAGGTTTGTTTTTTGTTTTTTTGTTTTTTTTGTTTTTGATTTTGTTTTTGTCTATGTCAGATAGGATAGTTGGGGCATTTATCGTTTTGACAGGAATTTTTCATAATAGTGTACTAAATATGAAATCTCATTAATCTTTCAACTGAGGTTATTGCTTGATTGATTTGTGAGTTCTGACATCATATTTCTGCTTTATTCTGAATTTAGCTTGTTTTCAATTAATGTTTTGATATTGAAGCTTCTAAAGGTGTGAGGATAGGTGCAATAGCAAACTGAAAAAGTACCTTACTCCCCCAAGATGTCAACTGGGCCCGGTCTCGAGTCTCTTGTGGATCGTAAGCCATCTGTAACATATTTATGTTTTTTGTCGATATTTTGTATTCTATAAAAGAGGGTGAGTCTGGAGCCGTAGTAAAACTGCTCCTTTGTGACCGAAAGGTCACGGGTTCAAATCCGGAAAATGGCCTCTTTGCAGATATGCAAAGGTAAAGCTGCATATAAGGATTGCCTTCACCTCTACCCTCGCTAGTCGGGGTTTAATGGGGAATGGTGGAGGGGTGGATTTGTATTCTATAAATAGTTGTGTTATTTGCTGCGCTTATTACCAAAAACCATTTAAGTTAATGGAACATCTGAAACTGATTCTGCATCAAATTGTATTTCCCTGAAATATGCTTTGAACCATGCTAGTAGTTGCTTCCTTTTACTGAGTCTTTTGGTTGTTGGCAGAGACAATTTCAGTCATTACGAATGATGGACGAAATATAGTGGTAAGTTTTAGTTTATGTACAAAATTAGCTCTTGACTGTATCTAGTGTGGTAATGGGTGTCATTGCTCTAACATCTAATTACAATGCTTTTTTGTTTAGGGAGTCCTGAAAGGTTTTGACCAGGCTACAAATATAATTCTTGATGAATCCCATGAACGAGTTTATTCTACCAAGGTATGGATGAATTTATGCAGAAAAATCCCTTTAAAGATTAATGAGCCACGCCTTCTATTAATAATATTTGTATCTGCCTTTGAACTGTAGATTGTTATACTAGGAATTATCAATTCTTTGTCATGATAAATCTGCTGAAATTGAAATTCATCAAACAATCAAGTTTCACAAACTATCTTGGGACTTGTCTGCTATGAAAAATGTGCTGCAGTTCTGATCTGCCTGATATTGAAAAAATTATGACACTCTATTCAGATACAACAAGTCTTTTAGTCATTATTTGTAACAACTTTTTTTTATTAGATTCAGAATATCACAAGTTTGGCATATTTTGTGATGAGATGAGGCATTAGATGAGCTTGTTTTGTTACTTTGCTTTTGTTGTTATTGTCTGTGTTTGTGTCTTAAAATGAATCTTGAAAACAGAACTGTCCCCTAAATCCGTGACTGTCAATGCTATTTTAATGACCATGGGGGTATTATTTGAGTTTAAGTCATGCTTCTCTTCACAATTTCTCTACCATAGTTAATTTTTTTTTTTTTTTTTGTGATTAGAAAAAAAAAAATTTCAAAGACTTAATCAGACTTTTTGGCCATGTCTTTTTATGATGTGGAAATTCATTGCCTTTTCTTTATAGATAGAGACAGGTAACTATAAAACCATGGACTTTTTGCCTTGGAGGTTAGAGCTGTTTACTTTCTTTTGTTTTAAGGTTTTGCTACCAATAGCTTTTCTGGCTTATGGCTGTATGAGTTTATATTGCACATCTACTATCTAGAGTTATATATTTTCTCTTACTCAAATCCGTACCTCATTTATATGGAAAATTTGTGTGATTGTTAATTTTGTTGTACCTTCTCTCCTCACCATAACTGTGACTTCGAATATAAGCTTTGTATTAGCTGCAGATTTTTTTCTTGGAAGTCATGAATTTAGCCTTGCTTAATTTTTCTTAGTCGTCCTGATGTCAGTCTCATTCATGTTTCTAATGATAGGAAGGTGTACAACAACTTGTTCTTGGTTTGTACATCATTAGGGGTGACAACATGTATGTCCCTTACTCCATCACATTTAAATTTGTGCATCATATAGATTTCTTATTATGGCACTCTACCCGTGACCTATTTCTTCTATGTATGTGCCCTAAAACTTGTATGGTTTCCCTTTGGTCATTGCAGAAGTGTTGTTGGTGAACTAGATGAAGATCTGGATTCTAGTCTGGATTTGTCAAAACTTAGAGCTCATCCCTTAAAACCTGTTGTCCATTGAGGTGAAATACAATGTATTGGTTGTTAATGGATGCATGCCTGTTTGTTGGAAAAGGTATGAAAGTTGCTACATTATATAGGACATAAAGCTGTGAAACGATGTGTAAGATTATGCAGTCAGCACAATATTACTAAATGCTTCGATTTTGCTTCTTGATGTTTAGCATGTGAGTCTTGTTAAACGAATGGCTGCAACAACTTCGACTATCTAAGGTGGAGAAACTGTCTTCTATTTGGCAATCCACTTTATATGATAAAATAGAATTTCACTTTTGAGAGTGGCATGAGTTTTATTGTACTCTTTTTTCTTACAATGTGATAGTTTCACCGCTGATTAGTATTTAATTTTTTTTAAAAACTCTTATATTATTAATTTCTTTTAATTTTTTTCATTGAAGTTTTTTCTTTCTTCCTGAATTCCAGTTACTTTTATTTTCATTTTTTTCATTTTAAGTTAATTTTTCTTCAAAAGTTCAAATATTAGTTGTTTGTATTTTTTATTTTATTTTTTCATTTTTTATATTAAAGTTTGTTTTTTTTTCAAAAAAATAAAATAAAATAAACTGCCCCACTCCTTAAGCTTTAATATTTTAGTATATCTTTTGTAAAAATGGTCGTTCTAATTTAATTTTTTTTTTTCAAATTAATTAAATCTTTTTATAAACTTAAAATTATTTTTAATATATAATTTTTTGAATTAAATCTAATTAATTATTTGTATGTTTTTATAATTTTAAGAGGTAGGAGGAGCTTCTGTGGTTTCAAAAGTCCAGTCACAAGTGGATAGCAGATGGAGATCGTAACACAAGATTTTATCATTTGAATACAGTAATCAGACGTAATTCCAACAAGATTAACTGTCTACAGAATGACAGTAATCAATGGATTTTGGATCCTGAGGGACTAAAAGAAATGATTATTTTGTTTTACAAAAATCTCTTTACTGAAGATAATGCTAATGGGAGGTGGTTGGAATCAGCTAGTTTGTGACCTTCTTTACCCAGTCAAGAGCAGTGCAATATGGTGAGGAAACCCTCTTTTGAGAAAATCAAACATTGCATCTTTGATATGCAACCTTATAAGGCTCTAGGAATTGATGGTTTCCCGGCTCTTTTCTTTCAAAGGAATTGGAATAGCATTAAGGAACAGATGGTTAATTTTGTCCATGAAATATGGCAGAATCCAAGTATGTTATTAACAATAAATTCTACATTGCTGGTGCTTATCCCTAAGGTCCAAGGTCCAACAAACATCAAGCAGCTCAAATCGATTTCACTATGTACAGTTCTGTATAAACTGATATCCAAATTGGTAGTTCAACGCCTGAGATCGAATTTAGAGAAGCTTATCTCACCAACACAAGCTAGTTTCGTCCGTTGGAGACATATTCATGATAATATTGTGATTGTCCAAGAGCTTATCCATAGTATGCATCGAATGAGGGGAAGAAAAGCACTTATGGCAGTTAAAATAGATTTGGAAAAAGCTTATGATAGGCTCAATTGGAATTTCATACATCAGATCCTAAAGGAAGCTCAAATTCCATATAAGGTAATTGATATAAAATAATGGTGTCAGTGAAATCAACCACTATTGATATTCTTTGAAATGGAGGGATGACCCAGGAATTCCAACCAACTAGAGGTATCTGTCAAGGTGACCCTATTTCACCATATCTTTTTGTTTTGGGAATGAAAAAGTTGACCCATATTATAGATATTGCAGTTATAGGGGACATTTGGCTGCCAATTAGAGCTGGTAAAGAGGGGCCGTTAATATCCCACCTCATTTTTGCTGATGATTTAGTTTTGTTTGCTGAAGCGAATGAAGTCTAGATTCAGAATATGATGCAATGCCTAAATTTATTTGAAGAAACATCAGGTCAAAAAATTAATGTGCAAAAAAGAAGCATTTTCTTTTCAAGAAATACAGAGGAAGTTGTAGCATCTAGAATTACAGACTTGTGTGGTTTTAAAAGAGTGAAAAATGTTGGGAGATATTTGGGGGCTTGGATGCAACATGGTAGAGTGAATAAACAACATTATGGATATATTATAGACAGTGTCAGGCAAAGACTATTTGGATGGCAAGCAAAATGTCTTTCACAGACGGGGAGGGTTACTCTTACACAATCGGTATTGGCCACTATCCCTTCATTCCAAATGCAATGTGGTAAACTACCCATTGGAGTATGTAATGAGTTGGAGAAAATATAAAGACAAATTATTTGGGGTGATAAGGATGGAAAAAAAATGCACTTGGAAATTTGGAATATTTTGACCACACCTAAGATTGAAGGGGTTTGGGGCTAAAGAAAACAACATTATTTAATGATGCTTTTTTAGCTAAAATGGCGTGGAGTATATTTACCAATCCCCAAACGCTGTGGCAAAATTATTAAGGGCTAAATATGCTGGAAACCAAACAGGTATAGAAATATATACATGTAAAGTTGGGGACTCTATGTTATGGAAAAATATCTGTTTAGTGTGGAGGAAAATGGAAGACCATACTAATTGGGAGATAGCAAATGGAAATAGTGTTATGTTTTGGCAAGACAGGTGGGCAATCAGAAATGGCAGACTCATAGACAGGACTTTGGAGCCAATACCGTGGGAAGAGGCAACGAAAAAGGTAGCTGACTATGTTAATGATGCTGGTGGATGGAAAATTGAAGAGTTATCTTGGTGGCTTCCTTATGAGGAAATTCAAACAATTTGAAGTCATCTCCCTCCCAATCCCTTAGATGGTACTGATCATTTAAAGTGGAATGTCTCTGGCAAAGGGGCTGTCTCGGTGAGTGGCATATATAAGCTACTAACTAATCAGACAATGACCACAAGTGAGAGATCTGAAGTTTGGAAAGATATATGGACATAGAAAGGTTCCCAGAGAATCAAACTGTTTCTATGGAAAGTAGCTCATGGAAAGCTCCTAACGAAGAAAAGGATGGCAAGCTTACAACTAGGGGATCCAAAGTATATTCTTGTAACAATGGAGATGAAACTCTAATGCGTACTTTGAGAGACTGTTACTATGCTAGGAAATTATGGGACATATTACAAGCTAATACAGTATGTGCAAATTTCCTAACATCCGATGAATAGGATTGGATCATTTCCAACTTGAAGGTAACTACAGAAGTAATAAGAGGTATTCTTTGGCATACAATATTTGCGGTGGCTGTTTGGAAGATTTGGCAATGGAGGAATTAAAGGCTACATGGCGTCCAAGGCCATCTAACCGAATACAATCCTAATAGTATACTTCGATACGCAGAGGAGGTCTGGACAGTTGCTAATAGGAAAGAGAATGGTGTCAATCATGGAATAAAAGAGGAGATTTTAATACACTGGAAATTTCCTGAAATAGGGTGGGTTAAAGTCAACAGTGATGGAGCAGTCAAAGGAAATCCGGGTATAGCAGCGTGTGGGGGAGTGATTAGAGATTGTTCTGCTAAGTGGTTGAATGGATTCTCTTATCGGATTCGTATTTGCAATGCGAATGTGGCAGAACTATGGGGAATTTTGAAGGGGATTGAGATGGCATGAGAAGCAGGTCGGAGGAAAGTTATCTTTGAAAGTGACTCTGAAGTGGCAGTCACGTGGCTCACCCAAAAGGAAAGTCAACCTGTGAGTCTCATATTGTGACTCGCATACGGGCATGGATGGATAAAGATTGGATAGTGAAGATAAATCTCACATATAGAGAAGGGAATTGCTGTGCAGATTGGCTCTCTATTCTCCCCTTTGAAAATCTAGATCAAGAGGATTAATGTACTTTTTCAAATCCCCCATATGGTATTTATTTACTATATTTAGCTGATTTAAGTGGTTTTGGTAGAACTCGTTGTATTTCTTCTTTCTAGCCTCTTTGGGGTCATGCCCCATCCAGGATACCAAAAAAAAGGATACCAAAAAAGAGAGAGGTAGGATTCATACTATTAATTTTTTTCTATTATTACTCCTCTACCATTTTAATCACTATTGGATTAGAAAAAAAATTAAACGAAGAAAGAGAAAAGGAAAATAAGTTTTGAATATAATGATAATTAGAGTGGTACTAGAAAAATTTGGTAGTATGAATATTCTACATTTAATTTTAAATATGTTCTAAACATTTTTCTTTTAATTATTTGTACGTTTTTATAATTTTAAATATGTTTCTGCTTTTGCTTTTATATATAAAGTGTGTGGGTCTCAACTACCTGGAAAAAAAAAAGTGAGTGGATCTATGAATGTGACAGAAAAAAAATACTGTAATTTTAAGTGAATGTTCATGGAATAAGTGAATGTTTGTTATGGTTGCAAGGCATTGGGAAGTAAATATCTCATTTTATTTAATTTTTTTTATTTAGGGGTCAATGATAGTCATATCTTAAAAGGCCATGACTCGGGATTAGTAGGTGGCCATAGGACTCATTCGGATAGGTAGGGGTGTGCATGGGTCAGGCCGAGTCAGGTTTTTGTGCTGACTCGACCAAACTTGATTTTTATAGGTCAGGTATTTTGATCTGATCCGGTTTAATTTGATCCAAGTCAGGTTTGACTTGGTTTACATTTTTTTGAACTAGTTCAGAACCGGGTCGGATATGACTTGACTTGGTTTCTGAAGTGAGTCAAATCCGACCTGACCCGTTTTTGACTTGGTTTCAAAACATGTTTTTAATTTGATTTTTTTTATAGTTATTGATTTATTTTTTAAACTTATGTAATTTTTGCTTTTCAAAAAACTTATGTAATTTAATTATTTATTTATTTTAAAATATATAAATTTTATAATAAATTTGATATTTGTTGAATAAATAAAGGAATGTAATTTTTTTTTAAAACAAGAAATGTAATTTTAAGCCCCGTGCACTTGTGAAGCAAAATTAGTGAAAATTAATGAAAAGTAAAGGATGAGAGAACGCTCTTCCCATCTTAAGATGACAAATCACTAATTTTAACAATGATATATTATAAAATTACATATTGTCTACTGATAGGAAATTCATAAATTTAAACCCAAATTACACAATTATTATTAGGGAAAGATTAATTAGTTTAAGGAAACTCTTGGCTAATATGATTGTACATATATAATTTTAGTTATCAACAACAAAGAAAATAGAAAATGTAAAGGAATTAGATTGATAAACAATGACATATTATATAGGTAGAATGGTTGTATAGAAACTTTTTCATTAAAGTAATAATTGTAACTCCACACATAATGACTAAAATAAAAATTGGACAAAGAAGTAGTTGCTAATTTGCTGAGCTCAATCGGCAGCGAGCCTTCAAGATTATTATGCGAGACATTTATGAAAATTCTCAATTACCATGCACCTAATTTTTACTAGAAAAGATACGATGTAAAAGCCATTAAAATAAAATAAAAAACGAAGGAATAGAGAGAAAGGAAATCTACTGCTTGTTATGAAATGAAGGAGGCGATGTTGGAAGGATCAGAGAGTTAAATCCATAGCCAATAACAAAGATCATTATAGCAAAACATAACATCAATAAGGTATTTAGGCATATCATACCATATGAATTTAAATTAATCAAGAAGCTCGGGATTGAACACAAGAAAAGTTGAGAAGCATATGGGAGATCCTCTTTGGTAGAGTGCAAGAATGTGACAGAGAGAAAAGAAAACCATAATTGTGATTTTTTTCTTCACATAATGGGTGTGAGTCAAGTTTTGGGTCAATGGGTCATTATTAAAACAAGTCAGGTCTAAAGCTGACCCAAATAAAAGTGGATCAGTATTTAAACCCAGTTAAAAAAATAGGTATTTATGGACCAGGTCAAGGTCAGATCAAAGGCAGGGCAAGTGAACCAGTTTTTTTGCACACCCCTACGGATAGGTGTATCAGTTGGCGACATATAGGGGTATAAATGGATTATGCCGATTTATAGGGGCTTACCGCCTAGCTTATATCAGATCAAACTTGGCTTATTATATATAGTAACATACCTAAACTTTTAAAAAAGCCTATTTAGAAAATAGATCATAGATATTTTTTTTTTACATATTGAGCCTATCAGCCTAGAGATCAGCCTATATTATATTATTTATTTTAAATAAAATTATTATTTTAATAATTTTGAATAATAAAGTAATATAATTTTAATTATTTTTTTAAGGTTTTAATGTTTCTACAGTGAGTACAGATAAATTATTTACATTTACTCCCAAAAGGACATCGTTTTGGGTTGAAAGACTAAAAAATTTCAATGATAAAGACTTTATAACCTTGGAATAAATAATAATTACAAAACACCTTGATTTTCGCTCAAAAATGACATCATTTTAAGCTCAATACAGATAACTTATCTATATTAATTGCAGAAAAATGAACTTTTTTTAATTATTGAATATTTAATAGGTTTAAACAGGCTAACAGGCCTAGGCTATTCAAGCAAAAGTCTAGCCTAACCTATTAACACCCTTAGCGACATAGGTTGAGTAGGTAGGGAGTGAATTTGGGTTCGATTCTAACAAAATACATCTTTGGGGAGGGGCAAAGAGTTTTAACTGTGACTAAACCCCGACTCGAGGTTAGTATCATAGCCAACTCAGAGTTAAAGCTTGTAGAGATTCCCAGATAGCCGACTCGTCTCAAAGAGATAATTAAGGTCAGTATATATAAACAAAAGCCATGATTTCTTTTAGGGAAAATTACATGATATCACCTTAAACTTAGGTGATTTTTCAAAAAGTCACCTTGTACTTTCAATTAAAACAATTACCCGCACTGCACAATAAATGTATAATATTGTTTAATATTGAATCAATTAAACATATTTATTAGTTTTAAGACAAAATTATCCTTGCCCTTAATTGCCACAATTAAGGGAGTGTTTGGTAGGAGGAATATTTTGAGAATTCTGAAAAAAAGATAGTGATAATCTTATTTACCCACGTTCGGTATAAGGTTTCTAAAATTTTTCCTAAGAATCTGATTTTCCCGAATGTTGTTTTGTGTACAATTTTATTTCAAAATGTCATCGAAGAATACCACAAAAGGGATGGTATTCTTCAAACCCCAGGTGTTAGAAAAATTTTACACTTTTTTTGAAACAAAATTCGTGTAGTTTTTTTTTACCTAACAAACAATTTTTTAGTAATATTCCTGAAAAGATAACTTTCTCACCATATTCGTGGTAATCATATTCCAAACGTAAAACAATTTATCCTCGCCAAACGCCTGTTAGAGGGCGTTTGTTAGCAGTCTTTGTAATAAATGGCTAGGCAAATTAGATAGGGAATTGAGTTTGTCAAAGTTTGGTAGAAGACTCTAAAAAAATATGCTAGCAAAATGCTATACTCAGGCAACATGAATCATGTGTAAAAATGAGATGCTGACACTGTTCTTAATACCCACTTCGTGGGTGGTAATTGGTGGCTTACTGGGAAAGAAAAAAATGAGCGCCAAAGTATTATCCAAAATGACCTTTGTTTATTGTTCAATGTGAGTGATGATGAGCGCCAAAAGTTACAATGCCTACTTTGGTAATTTAACAAATTATTCCATCAATATTTTACTTTCTACCTAACATAGATTTTGAAACTTATTTAATTTATTCGGTAATATTTCATTATAACCAAACAACTTTTTATTTACTTTACGAGTAAATTTCTTTGCCCATTATTTTCCTAGTTAACAAAATTTTCTTTTATGCCAAACGCGTATTTTACATATATAAGGGATTAAGGTGAGATCTGGCTTTCTCTCAAAATTGAATATTATCGTTTACTGTCGCGCTCAGGGAGCAATAACACAGCAAGAAGGAATACCAACATCCTTGTACAGGAATAACCCAACTCTGTCTTTCTTCGATGTATTCAACTTCCTTTTTGCCCGGTTTCACTCAATGCTCTTCAAGCCACAAACTTAATGGAAAATCAATGGCTACTTCACCTTTTAATGTTGTGTTTTATGTAGTTGACTTTATCCCAAGTTTTGATGGCGTGCTAAGCTTCACAAAGCCTTTTGGTTTGTACTTCAAAGACAACTCATAAAGGTTGTCTCGTGTACAAACGAGAAACATATTTTCCTTGAAAAATAATAGCCTCACTGAGATAAGACAATTATCTTATAACATATATTCATAGAATTTTGTGACAAATTTTTTTATTTTAAATTGTGAACATATTTGTATCACTCATGTGAGTACTATCTCATGAGATTAGTAAACTCCTTTTTTTTATAGGTATATTTCCCTTCTTTTAATTGCAAAATGGTGTGTCTACTTTATTTGTCACTCCTTGTTATAAAGTAATACTCACTTAATTTACTTAATAACATTTTGTTTTTGGTTTAGGAATTTACCTAGGAACCAAATGATGTAATCGTTTCATTTGCTTAGAATCATGAAATCGTTTCTAAACAAATTTTCTACTTTATTAGGAGGAGGAGAGGAGAAAAACTCATAGGTAAAGCCTCATACTTTATTAGTTCAAGCCTCATTCATGATATGCCATGGCTACATAAGTATATCAGAATACAAAAGAAACAAAGGGTACAAGAAAGAACACAAAATTGAACATAAACATATAGAGTACACACATATTTTATATGGTTATCTACTTGTCTTCAAAATTTATGACCAATTGTTGGATACCCTTTTTTGGGTAAGCAAGGAGCCCCAGGGGTGAACTCTTTAGAACCTCCTTCGTTCATGTCTGCATGGTCATGTTGCAACTGAGACTGATCATTGTTATTAGAATCATCAATTTGGTCACCTTTTGAAACAATGTGTGCACTTTGAAACATATCAACTGGTTCAGACTCTGCAATCTTTCCTCCTTCAAGTGGTGTGCCATGCTTGTAGGCTACTCTCACTGCTTCATCCTCTAATAGCCTTGCCTGTGATGTTGCATAAGTTATATCATCTTTACTCTTGGCCATGCTTGTAGGTTGTAGTTGCTAGCTTGCAATTGATTCAACACTCTTATGTGTATGTGCTTAAATAGAAGTAAGTAAAGATTTGAAAAAAGTGCTGAAATGGGGTGGATTTATTGGCCAAAAGGCATTGTGATGCGTGGCTAGTTCATAGCACAATTATGTGACAAGTGTCCTCAAATTGGTGACAAGTGTCCTCAAATTGGTGACAAGTGTCCTCAAATTGGTGACAAGTGGTTGATATTGGTGGAAATGAAAGGGAACACAAGTCCAGAACCATTGAGTTTGTTCTATGTAGAGAATAGTAACAATTCATAGTAAGAATATTAAACACTAATATCTTACAATAAAAACGAATAAAAATATAAGACTTAATTTCACTTTGAACATTTTTATTATGGATAACGTAACATTTTAGTTTTTCTTTTTTATATTTTTTGTTAAATTTATTCCTTAAATTTTTAATTCTTACAATTAAGTCATTCCATCAGTTTTCTTTTATTTAAAAACCCCAAATCTTCATTTTCTACTTAGTTTTAAAATCTTCTTATGTTCAAAACTCTTCTATCTAAATATCAATTTTTTTAAAAAAAATTCCTAAGCTCACTTCTTAGAATTTTTTGTTTTAAAAATTTGTACCAAATTTTCAAATTCTAAACTGTTTAAACTTTTTTTTATTCCGAATTTGTTCTAAAGTCCCAATTATTTGAATAAAAGAAGAGCATTTGGAAGTTTTAAGTAGAGAAAAGTTATAGACAAGACTTAATTTCAGTAATTAAAAAATCAAAAATTAAATTTGTAAAAATTTAAAATTGCATGCTAATCATAGTAGAAGGAAAAAAATATGATTAAGCTTAGTAATGATTCATAGTGAATAGCTGCAGGTTTGTCAGAATACTTACTTGCAGTATACTAGTTGTGATTTTTTTACTATTAGTCTAATGATCAGTCCAACAGATATTAGTCTAATGATCAGTTCAAAATCTTCTTCATTAAAATGAACATTGAAAGTTATGTATTTGATTGCCTCTTGAACTTTTTTACTCTCAACAACAGAATATGCTGAAACCAAGCCTTCTTTCCTCTCAAAAGAAGCATTGCAATACATGATAAGCACTCTTTTTCAACTTTATCTTTCATAGCATTGTCAAACTGCTTCAAACTTGTGTTCGAGTAAACATATCCATAAAAAAATGCATGCACACTTTCACTTTGATCCATTGTAGACATTCCAGCCCAAAATGTGTCTTTGACATATACAGGAACCCAACGTTGTCACTCATTGTATAGGCTATTCAACCATTCATTGTCATGAAGGTTATAACTATCAATTAATTTTTTTCAACTTCCACTGAAATCATCTTTACTGAAAGAATCATATACAGCACCGTGCAATTCTGTTTTGATTGACTCATACTGAGGGTATTCTTTCAACTTTTCAGTTACCCTTTTCATTAAGTGCCATAAGCACCAATGATGATGAGCTTTTGGGAACACAATCTCAATTAGCAGTTTTTATTGCTTTATATGGCATTTCGAGTTTGTCCAGATATACATGCCAGTTATGTTTGAAACAACCATGTAACAGTTTCAGAATCTTCATTTGATTGTCCATGATGATTCACTCCTACAAAATGAGCAAGGGGTATGTTATATTTATTTGTTAAATATGAGGTGTCAAATGTTACAACATCTTCAAAATATTCATTTGCAGCCTTAAATCGGCACTCTTCATCCAAGTTCATCACATAATAGAAACTACTATTTGACTTTTGCATTCGAACAAAATAGTTTTGAATTGCTTCAGCATCTCCAGTCCCCAATCTTAGGCTACTATCTTTCTGATTAAAGTACCTACAATCTTTCTCAAAAAATGCAAAGCTTACTACTAGAGATTGAATATTTCCATCCACATTGATCCCAGCCTTATTGCAAACACTTGAATTCCCAATTTTCTGATTAGATTAGAGTTCTCTCTCTTTCTCTCTTCAATTTTATTTTATTTTATTTTTATTTTTTTAAAACGTTTTGAAACTGGTTAGGGCTAGCAGAGTCCAAGTCAGCTAATCGGTCTGGCATTAAGGAAGCTCCGTAATGGTCAAAACAAAAAAGATATCTACAATGTGGTTTGCACTGGGTATAATCTAGTCTTGTTCTCTTTCCTCTTATAAGACTAGCTCTGGTAGGAGTAGAACAATTAGGACTCTTGCTGATCAGTTCTCCACCTTAATTTTATGTATAACCAGATGCATTTTTGTTTGTAGAAGAACAAATTGTTATCTTTATCTGTGTTCAAATTGCATAAGATTAATATTGTACATTGGTTCACTTTGTAATATTTTGTAGTCACTAGCAGATACAATATACCCAGTTGCTATATTTAATTCATTCAAGCACAAAGTGGAACGGGCATTTTCAAATGACAAACAATTTGATAATTTTTCTCACGATTCTTTCAACATACAACCTGTGATTTATACAAATGAATTTTTTGATTGCCATATTTCTTACTTCTAAATAGGAATAGATGGGCAAGTACATTTCTTAAAAAAAAAGGATAAATCAACTTATGTAGATGCATTGTATTCTATTCCTACAAGTAAAGCATATAGGTTATCTTTGTCACAAATTCTTGAGAATAACCAAGGAAAACATTTTTGTAAAGTGTGTTTCTTTCTAAAGTGAGCAAGAGTATATCTAATTTTAGTGCATTAGGATCATGATGTATTTTAAATTAAATAAAAGATGGATAAATCTTTACTTGCTGACTTTCACTTTTAGAGGAGCTTTATCCAAATAACCACTCCTGCAAATTTTCTAAACTGGCCAGCACTCAGCCAATTGTGAGGAGTAAATATTACTTCCAATGTTCTGTTTCTATTGATAGAAGCACAAGAAATCAGCAATTACGGATGCAATAGCAGCCAAAAACTGCTGTTGCTTTTCTATTGGAATCTGCCTTTCCATCCTTTGAGAGCTGCATTTCTTTGAACCCACTTAAGTTTTCTTCAACAAATCACAATGGAAAGAATAATATCATTTAAACTTGCTTGTATGCACAGTGCCTGTAGCCCCACAGAGACATTTTCTTGACAGAAATTTGTTTTTATTGCTAAGAATCTCTGACATGGGTATTAGCTGATCTACCCTCAGTTAATGTTAATGTCTCCAACTCACCGAATATTAACATATAAGGAAACTGATAAATCCACATCAGCATTTCAGTCCGAAACTCAGATCATTCCTTTACTGCACTTTTAGTTTATGTCGATGACATAATTCTTGCAGGAAATGATATCAGTGAAATTTCTCGAGTTAAAAGACATCTGGACAATCAGTTTCGAATCAAGGATTTAGGTTCCTTACGGTTCTTCCTTGGAATTGAGATCTCTCGTTCCTCTACTGGAATTATTATGAACCAACGTAAATATGCCTTGGAATTACTGGATGATGCAGGCCTTCTCGGATGTAAACCCTGCTCCACTCCAATGGATCCTACCAAGAAACTTCAACGCATACAAGGTTCACCTTACACTGATCCTTCATCCTACCGAAGATTGGTGGGTCGTTTGCTTTACCTTACTACCACCCGTCCAGATCTTTCCTTTGCGGTCCAACAAATCAGCCAATATGTATCCAACCCAATGGATGTTCATATGCAGGCTGCTCAACGGATTCTTCGTTATATTAAAGGTTCTCCAAGTAAGGGGTTATTCTTTCCTAGCTCAAATGACCTTTCCCTCTCTGGTTTTGCTGATGCTGATTGGGGTTGCTGTGTTGATACCTGCAAATCAGTTTCTGGTTTATGTGTTTTCCTTGGCGCAGCTCTTGTTACTTGGAGATCGAAAAAGCAGACAACTATCTCAAGATCCTCTACCGAGGCAGAATATCGTGCTCTTGCTAGCATGGCCTGTGAAATTCAATGGGTGAACTACTTGTTGCATGATCTTCATGTTCCTACATCCAAACCATCCTCTGTGTATTGTGATAGCCAATCTGCAATATATTTGGCACACAATCCCAGTTTCCATGAGAGGAGCAAACATATTGAAATGGATTGTCATATAATCCGCGAAAAGATCATCAATGGATTGGTTCATCTGCTGCCGGTTTCTACCAAGGACCAGTTAGCTGACGTGATGACCAAGGCTTTACATCCTACTCCTTTTCATTCGATTATTTCCAAGTTGGGGCTCATGGACATTTGCCTTCCAACTTGACGGGGGGTATTAACATATAAGGAGACTGAAATGCTGATGTGGATTTATCAGTTTCTCTTTCTGTTATAACAGATTGTAGTTAATTAATAAGTTAGTTAACCGTTATGTTAGTTAGCTTATTTCAGTTCTTTTCTTTCGTTGATTGTACAGTAACTAGCTGATATATAAATCAGCTAATCTCAATGTAGTTTTTCAGTTTTTCAATCAAAGAATGAATGCTTCAATACTTTCCGCTGTTAATACCGAAATCACAGAGTTGTACTTTCCAATTGTATTTATAGCAAAACACTAAGTCTACTGAAATTTGGTTAAGACAGATTCAGATAGAATAAGTGAATAACTGATACCACTTAATCCCAACAACCTGATTCAAATAATCACCAGAAGTCTTGACAAGAACAATTTCCATTTCTGAAGTGATGAAACCTAAAGGAGTCTCTGACAATGATTGTCACACCAACAACCTTAGACATGTATTTAATGGCATTGTGACAGTCACCACAGATTCTAAAATTCTTAAAAACCCTTATAGATGATTGTCCATTCAAATTAAGTATCCCAAAGGCAACAGCAAGCTTCTCACTGTGGTTGCAAAGAAACTCAGCTTTATCCTCTTCATCAACATCTCGCAGAACATAATCAGTGTCAGGCTTATATCCAGCCAATTTCATTTTCTCACCCAACTCATTCAAAAAGTTATAGATTTTATCACTCTCCTTGTTACTTTTGTCTCCAACAACAAAAGTGTGAACTCTATTTCCCACTTGAAGCCAACTACAGCCTGCAGTTTTTGTGATTCCTCTCCCTTTCATCAATATTCTGGTTTCTG